TTGCCTCAGACTCCCAAAGTGGGAGGACCACCACACTTGGCCAACTCTGTGCTTTTAAAATAATGAACAAAAAGGCCTTTTTTCCTTCTCAATTGCTCAAAGAGACTAAAAATTGCACCCCACATTAGTGTAAGCACAAACTACTCAATTCTGATGGAGCGTGCTCAAGGCACTAGGTTACCAGGGCACCACTGTCACATTCTGTGTGATCCGGCCGACCCTGACCAAGAGCTTTCAAAATTACCAAAATTCTGTTATATAATTTTAGTTGTATTTAATGTCTTATACATATCATGTAAATATTTATTACTGACAGCAAGAAATGTAGTTTTTCAGTTAATCCAAACTGCAGAAATACAACCACCTGCAGAGGAAACCTTGGGATGATCTTAAACGCAGTGAGTGTGTGACAGGCTGCCCTCTAGTGTCACTTTAGCTATGAAATTTTAGAAAGAGAAAACATTTCAAATGTTTCTCAAATTTAGATTGAAAAGTATTTCAAATTAATATAAAAAACACCCATTTACATTATGTGCTAAAAATATCTAAAAGAGATTGGATCTAGAGACAATCAACCACTTGCAAATGTGAACGGGAGTAGGAGATTTACGGTTTTCCAATTCCCTGCAACACTGCCTTTGGTGCCCTAACTCCCAAGCAACAGGGGTCATACAGAAACTAACCTGAGTGCAACCCAGCTTTAGATGCCTGTACGACAAGACGACTCTTCAAGTAAGTGCCCAGAAGAGAGACCCTTGGAAGCACTGGCCAGTCCCCACGGCCACTGTGTGCATCACATGTGTGTCAACCACACCCCAAGGAGGAACCACTCAGGAGGGACAGAGCCTTTAGGGTTATGTTTCAACAATGATTGAAATTGTTATCCTTTCACCAATTCGTCTCATCCTGCCAAAGCTGACATGTCTCTGGAAGCCATTCATGCAAAGATGGCTAGAACATGAAACTGCCTTACAGTGTTGATCAAAGAATAATTTAAACGTGCTCTAGCTCATAACGCACATGGGAAATTCCTACATTAATTAGGTCATGTCATGCTGTTTTACCTGACTTCATCTAAATAATTTCTGAATGTCCATTCTCTTTATGCACTTACACATAAAAATCTGTAGTTAGCAACGTTTCATTAGATTTTACTTTGCTCTTCTGAAAAAGTAATAAAAAGAAAATAGTACACTGAGGTTAGGCTTGGTAATACTAAACCTTCATGTTACAAAGGTTTTTAAAAAAGGTTTGTTAATAAGGTATTCTCAAACACTCTCCTAAAGGTATAAAAGATATTCTGGAAATATCTTAAAGTGGATGATTAAATTCCTAAAAAACATCTTCCCATCTGATTAACCCGTGATTAACAAAAGATGTAACACAATTCATTCTGATCCTGGAAGGCAAGTAAGGTTACAGAATATAACATACCACATATAACAACACCACGAGCTGGATTTTTATAACTGTTTCACTCCATGTAATCTTTCAAAGAACAATTTTTACTCTTTTCCCAACATGATCATTGCGGCAAATCAATCATTCCAATTTACACCAGAAGCATTTCCTTTTCTCAAAACTGATTAAGGGCCACTGTTAAAGGGACTACATGTGCTATTAGTAAGTGCTCCTTTACAACTTACTTAGAGAGAGAATCTTCCACGACTTAAGTCATTAAAAGAAAAACAACATAAAATTCTTCATATTGACCAAAAATTCTGACTCAATTCCCATGATTAAATTACTTATGGATTTATATTTTATTTACAGTGGAATACCGACTACAGTTCAAAGAAGTGTCACAAATTATTATCCATTTGAGCATTTTAACACTTTTGCAGAATGAAATGTAGTTAGAAAAGTGATTCATGTTAGTAAGTTGGATACCTGTGCTATGAACTAAATCAGAATATTATAAAGAATGACTCAATAGCGTGGAGACTCACTGATGTAACTATATAAAGAAAAAAACCTATAAAATCCAAACTCCTTCAAACCGCGAGACCATTGAAGTATCAAGCCTCGTGTAAATTTAATCCCTTCACCTTGGCATTCCTGGTTTCAGTAAAGGAGGAAGGGAAGGAAACTGACACTTGTCTCGGTCTACGAGGAAGCAGGCACAGGGATGGGAGCTCTTTCTACGCATCCTGAACTTCGTGGTAACAGATGCTGAGCTCTCAATGCTCCCTTTTCGCTGATGGCAAACACACTCAGAGACATGAGGCAGCTACCCACAGCTCCCCAGCTAGGTGCCATTGGGTTGGGCTGTCTGACTCTTCCCACTGGGACTGTGATCTTCAAGAGTTTTTTCTCAATTATGAATAAGGAGTCTTACTGATAATCAGTACCTAGGGCTCCATGGGCCACAGAATCAGTGATCCTCACGTGGCAAGAGCTGTGACACCCCCACCCCCACCTCCCACCCGCAGTCTAGGACTGGGTCTCCTTTTATACATGATGCCCAGGAGGCCCCGGGACTCTGAGAAAACAGAGACAGGAGAGTTATAAGGTGGGAAGCAGGCCTGTGACTCTCAGTCCCCAGCCCTCTCTACTCTGCTACACGGCCTCCTGCATTAATATCATCTTACTAGCTAAAGCAAGTCTTGGTTCAAAACCACTCTGGAAAATAAATGTGCATATAAAAATAGAATATTATACAAACATTATATAATAACCATTAAAAAATCAACAATTAGTTTAAGGGCAAAAGTGTGGATGAAACTATATGCCTTATCCTTATTCTTCAAACTCTACAACTAGTAAAATTATAGTATCATTTACACATTTAAGGTACTTAATTTAAACTTACCTTAAGCCATAGCAAGGCAAAGTCAGGAGCCTGAATAGTGCCAGGAACACTCTTAAAGGAAGCAGGGTAAACACATATAAAAACGCATCCAGGCACAGAAAGATTCCAAAAATCATCAGCTGGATTTTAAAAGGAGAGAAGAAAAAAAAGAAAAATATTGGTAAATAATTACAGATGAAAATTTCAATCAATCAGGCAATTTCTAAACATTATGGCAAATTTCTCATAACTTAGTTTGGGGAATAAGAAATTAACATTACTGGTCATACTTAATCATATGAAAGGTCTTTTTCTTTTCTTTTCTTTTGAGACAGAGTCTCAAGCTGTCTTCCTGGGTAGAGTGCCATAGCATCACAGCTCATAGCAACCTCCAACTCCTGGGCTCAAGTAAAGTCTCTTGCCTTCACCTCCCAAGTAGCTGGGACTACAGGTGGCTGTCACAATACCCAACTATTTTTTGGTTGCAGCCATCATTGTTGTTTGGCAGGCCCAGGATGGATTCGAACCTGTCAGCTTAGGTGTATGTGGCTGGTGTCTTAGCCACTTGAAGGGTGAAAGGTCTTTTTCAAAGTGCAAGTTTGTACTGCATCTGGAGTGTTTGATTTACCACCTGCGGAAGCCAATTACTCAAAAGACAAGTGACCAGCTGGGTGTGGTGGCTCACGCCTGTTATCCTAGCACTCGGGGAGGTCAAAGTGGGTAGATCGCTTGAGCTCAGGAGTTTGAGACCAGCCTGAACAAGAGTAAGACCTCATCTCTACTAAAACTAGAAAAACTAACTGGTGTGGTGGGTAGGTGCCTGTAGGCCTAGCTACTAGGGAGTTTGAGTTGGCTGTGAGCTATGATGCCATGGCACTCTACCCAGGGGAGTGAGATTGTGTCTCAAAAGCCAAGTGGCCCTTGGATACAGCTATGATCCACCTGATGTGGCTTTCTGGATATTTCCTCAAACTTTAAAGACAATATAGAAAATCTTTCAGATGAAATTCCTTATCTCTAACTTTATTCCTCATATTTTGCTGTTTCATATTAGAGTGATTCGATGAAGGAAGTTCTGACATACACACGGAGTTACAATACTATTTATGTTAAGAACACATAAACCAACATTAGCTCAAACACACACCATGTGCGCTGAAACCTGCTGCACTCAGCCTTATTCTCTTTTTTTCTTTTTCTTTTTAAGAGACAGGGGCTTGCCCTGTCTGCTAGGCTGGTGTGCAGTGAGCTGATCACAGCTCACTGTGACCTCAAACTCAAGTGATCCTCCAGTCTCAGTCTCCCAAAGTGCTGGGACTACTGGGGTGAATGGCCTGGAAGGACATATTCTTAATTCCAGGACTAAATGCTAATGCTGTCTTTCTCTCTTTCTTGTGTAGCTGCCACATTCTTTGTTTCTTTGGAAACAAATGTCTTTGTTAGACATTTGGGACTGTATTTCATAGAAAGGCAGCTTAAACAAGTAGCCACACCCAGGCTACCAAATCCTGCTGTTCTGGAAGTGCCGACTTTCTGAACGTCTGACACACAAATGTGATACAACGTACATGCCTTACCATCATATTCCATGTAGTTTTAGTCAATAAATTTCCCTATCTGCATATGTTAATTAAAATTCACACTGTTATGGGCTGAATTGTGTCCCTCATCAAATCTGTATATGCAAATTCTAACCCCCAGTAACCTCAGAATGTGACCATATTTGGACACAGGATCTTTAAAGAGGCCATATAAGTTTAAAATAAAAAAGGGTAACTAATCCACTATGGCTTGTCTTCCTAGGAGGGAGGCAACTTGGACACAGACATGACAAGCCCAGGAAAGGACAAGAGGAATGAACCTGCCAGGGCCTGGGGCTCAGACTTCCAGCCTTCTGTACCCGAGACAAAGTTCTACTGTCCTAGCCCCACCCCAGGGTACTCTGTTATGGCAGCCCTAGGAAACTAATACACATATCTTTAAATAAAGAATAAGTTTTTGGGCGGCGCCTATAGCATAGTGGGTAGGGCACCAGCCACATACACCGAGGCTGGCAGTTTGGAACCTGGCCCGGGCCTGCTAAAACAACAGTGACAACTGCAACAACAACAAAAAAATAGCTGGGCATTGTGGGGGTGCCTGCAGTCCCAGCTACTTGGGAGGCTAAGGCAAGAGACTCGCTTAAGCCCAAGAGCTCTTAGCTCCCTTAGGCTGTAAGCTGTGACACCACGGCACTTTACCCAGAAGGACAGCTTGAGACTCTGTCTCAAAAGGAAAGAGGCAGTTTCATTGATTTCTGACAAGAATGTCTCTAACATATATTACATACACTGGTCGGATTTCTTAATCTGAATATACAAACTCTAACAGCTTTTCCTTGTCACTGAGGAGTCTTTCTGTACTTGTGGCAGATGGGTTGAGAATGGAGGGCAGAAACTGCCAGAAACCCACCGTCCCCAGAAGGTACTTGGGTGTGCATGAGGCTGGGACACCGTGAGGGATGGTGCATTTCTTTCTCATGAGCTTATGCTGAGGATGGGTATGTTATTCATTCCACTAACACGTCCTAGCTGTTAATGTGGGCCAAGTGACATGTTCAGCCCAGCAGGGTCGAGAAGTGATTCCCGCCTGCCCTCTGGAACCTCCCTCATACCGTAGCACGAGATACCAGCAAGTAGTCAGAGCACCGTCAAAGCTATGATGGCAGCCCCAAGTGCACAGGAACAGGGAGACACAGTAGCCAAAGCAACTTGGGGAGACCGAGAAAAAGCTTAGATGACCTCTGAGAAGATGAGGGCTATTTGCCACACAGAGAAGGTGGACTGGGGAAGAGGGTGGGGCCAAGAAGAGGAGAAGGATTTCCTGGCAGAAGAAACTGGGGTAACAGCACAGAAGGGGGAAGTAATAATGAAGACCAAAACTTCCCTTTAGGCTGGGTGCGGTGGCTCACGCCAGTAATCCTAGCACTCTGGGAAGCCAAGGTGAGTGGATTGCTTCAGTTCACAAGTTCAAGACCACTTAGCAAGAGTGAGACCACTGTCTCTACTAAAAATGAAAAACTCAGGCAAGAGGATTGCTTGAGCCCAATAGTTTGAGATTGCTGTGAATTATGAGGCCACAGCACTCTACCAAGGGCCACAGCTTGAGACTCCATCTCAAAAAGTAAAACAAAACAACTCCCCCCCCCCAATTCCCTTTGAAGTAAAGACAAAAGGTATTGTCCCCTTTCTTGGCTCAGAGGAATCTGCACACTAGCACTGTTTGTGGTAAGCAGCACCCCAGCCTCAGGGGCGCAGCTGCATGCACCCAGGGGGCAGCAATCCTCTGCTCCTCCTGCATCTGCGCTGGGACTAAGACGGAAGGAACTCAAGCAGCTGCAACCCAAGAACTCAGCCACACATCCAAGAATGCACAAAGGGAAAGCAAGGGACGTGCATTTTAGGGTTGGAATCTTTCAAAGGAGACCCAATTTTACTGCATCCATTGATCTGATGTTACACTCTCTCATAAAACATTGCATTCTTTTAAATTCCTTACATGTGAAAAGGAGGAAATTTCCAAAAAAAGGAAATATGTGATCATGAGAACGTGGAAGGACGTACTGAAACTCGGCTCTGTGCAGTGTGAGCCTGGCCCACAGGATGATGCGTGCACCTGAATGTCCCATTTATTTCACATGGTGACCCAGGCATTTGAAGGGGCTGTGCAAAGAAAGTCCCCTGTGCTGGCACTATCCAGGCGCAGCCCTAGTGCTTGCTGCTTAGTCTCCCAACAGCTCTTTGAGGTAGTTACTGTCACCCTGGCTTGACACTGTAGGACCCACAGTTCTGAAGGCTAAATAGTTGCCCAAGGCCGTGGGTCAGACGGAGTGGGGCAGTTAAGCCCTGATCTGTCTGACCAAGGCCCTACGCGCTGTGAAGCAGTCTGGGCAGAGCAGAAGACTCTTACTCTTTTTTACCGGGCATTGGAGTTAAGGCAATTTTCATCATTCTCACTCACTCAACTTGCCAATTTATTCAGTGTCATAACAAAATAATAGGAATTTAATGAATCAAACTTATAAAAGACATTAAAATTTCACATATTTAGATTTATTGCTAGTTTTGAAAATATGTTAAGAATTAAAAGCTTTGAGTGTACTATTAATGAGAACAATTTGTACTCTCACACCTTCAATTAATTTGTATATTTTAATATGTAATTACTATTTTTTTTATTTGAAGCAAATAACTGTAAAGTATTCAAGCATTCTTAAGAAACAGCTAATAAAAAATTTCCCCTAAATAGAGTGGCACCTGTGGCTCAAAGGTGTAGGGTGCCAGCCCCATATATCGGAGGTGGCAGGTTCAAACCCAGCCCCGGCCAAAAAACTATGAAAAAAAAATTTCCCCTAAATATAGAAGGTATGACAATAAAATAACAAAATCTGAGTCATAAGCCACTGTTTCCCTCCTGAGAAACACAAAAAATCTTCCGCCCTCTTTTAAATGCCATTTGAAATCACAAAATAAGTACGGTGTTATCTGTAAGACGAAAGCAGCATAAAGATTTGGGAATACGCTTCTTTAAATCATAGGTGACACACAGGCGACCATCTGTCCTCTCAGCTGACAGTCTTGCACACTGCACGTCAGGCCCTCGCCACTCCTCTCGCTCTTCCCATTTGTCCCTCCTCCAACCTTGCTGTCCCAGCCGCATGTCCCCTTCCCCATCTCTCAGACGCACTGTGAGTAGGACCTCACCTCTACAGGGCAGGCCTTGCACTGAATGTGGTATATCCTTGAAGTGGCATAAGTAACAAAAAGCAGAAAACCAAAAGATGGCAAAGAACTATGGGATGATGAAAACAGTTCAAGAAGAAATCATCCAGGAGGGTTTGGCTTCACCTGTTCACTGTTCTGTGGTGGACACCCACGTCCCCAGGCATGGAGGACAGAGGCCCCCAGGATGGGCTCGTTCTTTGGCATGTTCCCTCATCGCTGCCGCAGTCAAACATTTACTGTACATCTCTAAGTGGCAGAGACTGCGACAACTGAATAAAATAAAACGTCGGCTGCTCTGAGAAGGTCAAAGACTTGCAAAGGAGCTTGTTGCCCACAGAAGAGAACTCAAACTCTGCCCAGCCGACAGTGGACACACC